CATTTTAAACGATTAAGGTCTTTCAATAAAACAAAAGAAAAAACTTATTACTGTAATTTTTGCATACATACACGCCAGTATTTGGAATTTTTATTTGTAAAAAAAATGTAAAAMCCAACCACTTACTAATAAATATAGCGCACTTTTTATGTTTTCAATTCAAAATAGATGCATTTTTATTTTTTCATTAATGGGAAAAAATAAAAAAACCAATGTTGAACTTCAAATAAACGCTTTGAAGTCATTTTTCATAGCTCTGGGTTTCATGTTTTAGCGTTTATCATTTTAATAAGTCTATGACAGCATTTAGTTTAAGTTATATTTTTTGGTTTTTTGTACGGTAAATTAAAAATTTAATAATGTAAAGTGAATAATTCTATACAAATAGATATGTAAATTGTTGTTGGAAATTAATTATTACATTAAGTTTGCTAAGGAATAAATTTTTTTATAATTTTATGTTGCAATGACTAGTTCGGAAATGGAAATAGAGGATGCCACGTACATCAGCAGATGTTTGTTGTTGCACTGAACGAACGAAATATGCTTGCTTTAGGCTTGAGTGCTTTCTTTTTATTATAATTTTTTTTATTTGCTTCAGTTGCTTATTAAATTACAGTTTTTTGCTTTTCGCGCACGTTTGCTCATTTCGATTTGTTATTTTTTTAAATTTCTTTTTTCCATTGATTGGCTGCCGGGACAATCAACAATTGTATGCAACTGTGGTAGTGCCAACAAACAGCGCACATATACATTCATACATTATCATGAATAGGCCAGCAGGAAGGAAATACTATTAGTTGTTGTAGTGGCGGTAGTTTCATTTTCAATTGACASAAATTGTACGGGTTTCGCCTGTCGGTTAGAAATTCAATTGGATTGCATCCGCCGTTATATTTCAACTGCTTGATTTCTTCACGACAATTTTGTAAGGCAATTGATTGCAGCGTGTTGTTGTTGTTGCAACAGTTTCAGATCGATTGTTTACTTGCTATGCGCTTTATATTTAAAAAGAATTGTTTAGTAAAGACAGCGTTAAAATTTATCGATCAACTTTTTTGTACTTGAACCCTTTTCCGAAAAGTTTTGTAAGAAAGTTTGCATTTTTTTTTTTTTTTTTTTTTTTGGATTTGTGATATATTTCAAAGGGATTTGATTGTGAATGAGTTTTGAAAAATAGAAAATGCCATTAGTTCAGTGCAAAGTTAAACGAAATTGTAGTAAATGGTACATTCGTGTGCAAAAAAATAAAGCATTTGGTAAAAATCAAACTACCAAAAATCATACAAGAAAATTTAAAAGTGATAAAATATAAAATATTAGATAAAATGTCTTAAACTTGCTACAAGTTTTTCACGCATGCGCAAAAGTTTAGTAATGTTGCTCATGTGCATATGTAGTTGTTTGTGTGTTTCGCTTTGTTTATGAGACACATCTTATTATTTATACCCCCCGCATGTTCAATCAACATATACATATGTGAGCACCGAAATGCCGTTAACTAATACAACTGCCTGTATGTAAGTATATTAACGTGTCTTTTCTGTCACAAATTGTTTTTGCTTTTTCAAACGCCCGCTGATTTTTCAGTTTTTGCGCTGAACAAAAGGATACAATGTAAAACAGCACTTTATTTGCAGCTTAAACCGTGACTAAATTATAGTTTTTATCCTAAATGTATACACTATGATATTTTTTGATAGTTTGCAATAAGCAAGTAAATCTAACACTTTGAAAAAGTGATGTTTTAATATACAATTAAAAAACTTGCTTAAAAGAGAATTAAAAAACAAATATTAAAACTAA